TCTTTTATGCCATAAAGAAGCTAAAAAGAGCACAAATCCATTCCTCCTCATTAAAATAAAAAGCAATGGCTCATTTATTTTCCATTTTGCTTTAAACACCTAGCCAGCATTGCAGTTTTCACTCTTATTCTACCTCTTCTGTGCAGCACCTGATGAGGAGACATAGGAGCTGAAATTTCTCTGTTAAATGTTTCCTTTACCCTTTCAATACAGCCCTCTTATTCAGACTCAGGAGAGCACTCTGACCTTTAAACACCACTTCTTCCTCTTGCCATGCATGCATACTTGAAGTCCTAGTCTCTCCTTGATTATTCTCTTCTAAATGGTAAGGGATTTTTGACTTATATTATCTAGGCAGAAATGCAAAAATGCCTAGGTTCTCTTTGAGCAAACTCTCTACTCTTTGACTGTACACCCAGGTTACAGACTGGTCAAGATCCAGAGCCAGTGTAAATTGTCTTAGCTTCATTGACATCAATGGCTGTCTCTCCCATTTGCAAACGAAAGTGGTGTTTATTGCCAAGTCTTTGTTCTGAGATTTCCCACAAAGAGAAATAAATATATATATGACAGGTTTCAGAGTAGCAGCCGTGTTAGTCTGTATCCGTAAAAAGAAAAGGAGGACTTGTGGCACCTTGGAGACAAACAAATTTATTAGAGCATAAGCTTTCGTGAGTTACAGCTCACTTCATCGGATGCATACAGTGGCTGTATACTGTAGCTCACGAAAGCTTATGCTCTAATAAATTTGTTAGTCTCTAAGGTGCCATAAGTCCTCCTTTTCTTTTTACAAATATATATATATTTCCCTTTGTGGGAAATATACACACACACAGCATAGCTTTGTCTATATACAGATCAATATATGGCAAATGGTCATTTTGAATTTTTCCAGTGGATTGAACCAAAGAGAACAGGATGTGTGTGTCTCTGTAATTAATAGGCCAAGGAACCCTCTGCATTTTGCGTGAAAGAATGTCTGTATCAGTAACTGTAACATTCCTCTTAAGCCAGAAGATTTCATACCCAAGATCAGCATGTTCTTCTAGGGAACAGACTGACTTTAATAAACTTACCTGAATTTTAAACCACAAGTGTAATTAAAATGTGTAACTTTGTTAGGTGAAACATTCAGAACTTGTGAGGCTAAGCAATGCTGCACTCAGTGCAAAGATAAACAAGATAACACTTTGCACTTGGATCGCCCCCTGGATTAAAATTATTTTAATTCTCTGCTAGTTTTATTAAATATTTAGAAGTCAATCGAAACCTTGATTTACAGTTCATCTTAACCAGAAATTCAAGAATCTGTAAAAGCTGTAGCAATACAAATCTAGACATTTTGTTTTATTGGTATCATGTCTGGGGCCTTAACCCTTAGGTGCTACTGAAATATGATAGGAATATTCAACAGCAACAAAAATACTGCCAGCCAAGTTCTCAGCAAGTATTCCCGGAGGAACACTGCTGGACAAAACAGGCTCCCTGTATCCTATATCTAAGCTCTGTGGAAGCTTTAAAATTGAATTTGCAACAGAGGGCAGCATTTCAGAAACAAAATTGCATTAATTCCATTTGGTTTGTCTTCGATATGGCCCCTGCCTAACGACTCAATCTGCAAGGTACTGAGTGCTTTCAACGCCTGAACTATGGGAGTTGAGACTACTCAGCCCTTCACAGGATTGCACCCTAATCAAGTACATGTTGTTTCAACTTTCATTCTTATCATCCTCCACAGTAAGATTGGACAGCAGCTCATCTACTGAAAACTAAATGAATTGGAAGTATACCTTTAAGACAGAGTAAGCCAAGAAGAATCTATTTGTAGTCTGAAAGGTCAAGGTCCAGTCATGATAAAGTCCAATAGACAGGGATAGAACCTTCATATTTCATGGAATGACAAACAAGAGGAGGAATTTTATTCAGCTGCTATTTTGGTGCTGAAGAGTTGTAGCACAAAAAACTCCACAGAACATAACATAATTCCTCAAATACAGCATCAAAGGTGACCCATAAAGGAAGAGAAACAAAAACTTGGACTTGTGCCATTTTTGCTTCTTTGTGATTTATACAGCGGGCACAAAAGGTTTTTCTTTCCAAAAAGTCTCTTTCCCCCCATCTTCTTGTCTTTCATCTTCGAAATGCAAACAATGTCTACAACGGAAAACTCTAGCTAAGGCAAGAGTGTCAAACACACAGCAAAAGCTGAGATTGAGAATGTGTGCCACCACTCTGTATAGATCAAGGCTGCTGCATGTCGTTGTAGCAAATTGTATATTGTACTCGCAGGGCTGTCAATTTAAAATATTAGTACATTGGGACATTTTAATCCACAAAACACTGGGGAGCGGGTTATTGAAGACAAATGTGGCAAAAATGTAACATCTTTAGAGTAACGTGCTCTAATAAAAGAAATGATGCCCTCCAGAAATTCATATTCATCCTTTGGCAAAGGCTTGCAACCCTCTGGGTTTGGGATAAAGCTACAAATAAATAAAAATCTCCTTTCCATTGCCTCTTACAATGGCATTACACTAATTTACACTGGCTGATAGTCTGATCCATAGTCGGACATTCATTGTGGTCTGGCTTGTGAATAATACTTCCAGGCCTGCCTAGTGGAAATGGTCCGTCTCTCTCTCTCTCTCTCTCTCTCAAGGAAATAAAGAATTATTTTCTTATCCATTAGTAGCTCACAAATTGGAAAAAATTGAGGAAACAAAAAAATTGAGGAAACAAATTGGCCAGAGTGGGAGGACTGTTTACAGACAATCCAAAGTTAACATCATGGAAAAAATATCAAATATGTATGAAGCAAAATAAAGTAGAAACAGCGATAAGGTTTTCATGTGTATATTTATCTGCTGAAAACACTGCACTTGTAAAGTTTCTTTGAATACTAATAGGTATGACAGGTTTTTTAATGCGCTAATGTGGGTTAAGTCAGACTTGTCTGAGTTTTCAGTGGAAGATCTAGAAGCATGGAGCTCTAGGTTGCATAGGGAATTGCATCCTGTAATTATTGTTAGCCTGAAATATACCTGTAACTGGAGACTGTGCGCTGAATTATATGTTTCCCTAAATGAAAATGACAAGTTTATGTTTGTAGGGCCAGATCCTCAGCTGCAAAACTGCTGTAAAAGTCAATGAAACAACACTGATATACCCCATCTTCCACAGCAGCTGAGGGGATTGGGTCACAAGGGCCCAGCATGGGGCCCTGGGAAGAGCATTGTGTTAAAAACAGCTGTTGTACATGAAAGACTGATGTTTACATCATGGGCCTCTCTGCTCTTTCTGCACCTGCCTGCACTCTGAAATGGTGTCAGGACTGGCTGGTTCCCATTTGCAGAGAGTGGAGAGGGAAGGAAGAGAGAGAAAGGAAACTCCTTGTCCCTGAGAGAGGGCTTGTTTCCTCATTCCAAATGCTGGAGCAGGCCACAGGATAGTCTGGCCTGAGAGGGTATGTCTACACTGCAATTAGACACCCATGACTGGCCTATGCCAGCTGACTCGGGCTCACAGAGTGCAGGCTAAGGGGCTGTTTAATTGCGGCGTAGACAGCTAAATTTCTGAATTGTTTTTACTTTTTCACTGCAAAAAAATAGCTATGTTAAAGGACTGTTAAAGTTGCACAAGCGAAACACTCAAAAGTTAGGAAATGCCAGAATCAAGGTTCCCTGTGCAACTTTAGCACCCACCCACACATCTATGCATGATGATGACAGATTTCACCCAACATAGGAAGCCTGTGGCAGAGCCAGGAATAGAACTGTGCTTCCCTGGGAGCCCAGGCAGTGCCTTAACATACGAGAACATCCTTTCTCTTCATGTATTGCTCTCCCTCACTGGCTGTCTGCGCTAGCCAGTCTGCGGAATGATGCAATGGAGGAAAAGCTAGGGGGACAGAAGGGAGGAACAGACTAAAAGAATAGTGGCTCAATGGAAGACTAATTGGGATGGGGAAAGAAGGGTGGACACTTATCTGTTGCCTTTTTATCCCCATTCTTTTCCCCCTAGATATCCTTTTCCTCCACGGAGATTGACAGGTCACAGGCCAGTTTCAATGTGATCAGACCGGTGGGAAAACTTAACACAGACTACACCCCCAAACATACTGCCATGGCTCTTGCCTCCAAGTGTTTTCCTCAGATTGTTAGGTGAGTCTCCCTGAGTAGATTTTTCTTTCTTAGTTTAATGAGATATTCAGTCTCAATTAATAATTACTTTTAGGCACTTTGGGCAAACCTTAGCTAGGAAGATACAAACAAGAAATTCACAGACATAACTGAAGGACATACTTTTTGAGTATTTAAATTAATATAACCTAGTTGTCACTGTGACAGGATGGAAATACACATATAAGAGAGCTCTTGTTACTTTACAATGAAAGCTGATGTCGAGGTGGATGCTTTCAATTCTTTTTAACAATTTGCAATGACTTCCCTACCCTAGTCTAGATAGAAAAAAAAAAAGGTGTTTTTTAAAATCAAGTTAATTAGCAGGACATGAAACATTGCTTTGCATCTAATCCATCTTAATACACTTTAAAATGAAATTAAGCAAAATCACAAAACAGATGAGAAGTGGGGCAGTCCTCAGAGCTTCAGTTATTATTCGTGGCTGCTTGTTGGGTCTCCCACCCCACCCCCCACACTGTTGGGTAAAGCCCAATCCTTACTCACCCAAGCCACACTCACAAATTGTTTGACCTGGTAGTGGTCAAGTGGGTGCAGATGAGGCCTCTCAGCTCGACTGCTGTTGACAGTTCTGATGTGTTTCTGCCAAATCTGTTCTGGCCTGCCAATTACTGTTGCGGACTGCTCTGTCCACTGATGTTAGCTGTATCTGATCTGTTACTATCTGACTAGGTCTTCCCTGGCCCACAGCGGAAGCTTATACAGGGTAAACTCAAATTCTTCACCCTCTATAACACTGATAGAGAGATATGCACAGCTGTGTGCCCACCCTGCCCCCCGGTATTAATACATACTCTGGGTATAAGTAAAAAGTGATTTTATTAAACACAGAAATTAGGATTTAAGTGGTTCCAAGTAGTAACAGAACAAAGCGAATTACCAAGCAAAATAAAATGAAACACACAAGTTTAAGTCTTGTACAGTAAGAAAACTGAATACAGATAAAATCTCACCCTCAGATGTTTCAATAAGCTTCCTTTTAGAGACTAGTCTCCTTCTAGTCTGGGTCCAGCAATCACTCACACCCCATGTAATTATTGTCCTTTGTTCCAGTTTCTTTCAGGTATACATGGGGGTGAAGAGGCTCTCTCTTGAGCCAGCTGATGACAAAATGGAGGGGTCTCCCAGGGGTTTAAATAGACTTTCTCTTGTGGGTGGAGAACCCCTCCTCTCTCCTATGCAAAGTCCAGCTCCAAGATGGAGTTTTGGAGTCACATGGGCAAGTCACATGTTCATGCATGACTCAGTTTTTATAGGCAGCAGCCATTGTCCACATGCTACCTTGAATGTCCTCATGTAGACTTCTTATGTGGATTGGAGCTTTCCAATATCCATTGTGCATTAATTGCTTCTTGATTGGGCACTTAACTTGCAAATTCCATTCTAAAGAAGCTGATCAAATGCCTTACTAAGGTTATTTAAAAGCAAGCAACTATACAGCCAATATTCATAACTTTGACTACAACAATGACACATGCATACAAATAGGATGAATATATTCAGTAGATCATAACCTTTACATAGATGTGTTACATGTCATATGTAGCATCAAACATATTCCAGTTATGTCACATATACATTCATAAGCATATTTCCATAAAGCCTTATGGGGTGCACCGTCACAACCCCATTCTCCCCAACCTAAATGTGAGCCCTGTACTCCCCCTGCCTCAACACTTCCCACCTTATTGAGTCATACCCCCCACCTGCAGAAAACACTGAAGTGGAGGCTGTTGGGTTGGCTTCAAGGGGCTCTTGACCCTCTTCTGCTCCTTCCCAGGCACAGGAAGAATGGAAAGGAGCGAAACTGCTCCCTCTCCACTTATGAGCAGCTAGGCTCATTAGCGCCCTCTGAGTCCCACCCTCTAATTGACAGAAGGGGGTCAGAGAGCTGGAGGAGCATGACCTGGGGCAGGGAACTCCATCCATCCCTTCGGGGGATGAGGCAGGGGCTCCATGCCTGGGCCTGGGGCCAGGATAGCCCTGTGCAGAGGTGTGAGGGCGGAGCTGACCCTGGCCACCACATCTCTTCCTGCACGGAACCAGGCCATCCCCTGCTGTCCCAGCATAGCCACCCACCCCACCTCTTCCTTCAGGACTAGGCCATCCCATGCTAGCCCAGCCCGCCTCTACTTTCAAGGGCCGGGCCATCACCCATTGTGCCCCAACACTGAGCCCATCCTGCATCTTCCTTCAGGGCCATGCCATCCCCTGCTGTGCCCCACTGCTTCCTTAATTGCAGTCCTTGATTCGTCTGGACAATGATGATCATGATGGATTCTGGAGATTGTCCTTTGCTGGCTGTCCTTGGGGGTCAAGCGTTACAGCTGTTGTAACTGTGCCCTGAAAAATCAAAAAGCTAAGTGCTGTAGCCAAGGATAAAAGGTATCAAGTGTAGTTAGGGTATAGAGATAAAATATAAGAATTAATGTTTTAACACAGGGCCTACAGGGCTCAGGCTTGTAAAATATTTACCATAGCCAAATTAGCATTTCCGATAAATTAGCTTTATTGCAAAGATAAATTAACATAAGTAGTTAATAATTAAACCTGCTGAGCTGGTGTCTATGTCCGTGATATGCTGATGTTTTGAAAATATCAGCTAAGTTTGGATAATAATGTCTATTAGAGATCAGTAGACACCACAACATGACTAGCTGCGGTGAACTGTCAGAGACTTCCTTATCTGTTACTGTGGTGATAAGGTGACATAATCGTTAATGAGTAGAAGAGAAATAACAAGTTAGCCTATGAAAAATGGGGCACCCAAAAAGGAGTGAGGTGTGGAGGTTCAAATAAGGAAAAGAAGTTAAAACTTCATAAATATGGATGAGCCCCAGCTAGTGTCAGTGTAACACATTATAAAAGCTGTATCCTGGCCCGCATGCCTTGGTGGGGGAGACACCATGATGATGACCACTGGCGGTGCTGACCATGGTGAGGATAATGATGAACACATCAGGTTTTTCCACAAGGCATGCAGTAAATAATGCAAACACAGGGGAACTCGGTTTATCTCATGCAACTGGGACCGGGGCCAGATTGGATAATCAAAAATTCAGATAATCAGCAGAATGGGCAGAGAGGTTATTTTAAGTTGCGGAGTTGCTTTGAAACTAGCTGACCCTCCCAGGCAGCAGGGCTCGGGCTGCAGCTTGTAACTTCGCTTCACGGCTCCCTGTGGCTTGGGGTCCTGGGCAATTGCAACAAAAAGGATGAGAAACACTGTTCCTGTTTGTGCACTGGTGGTTCGGTTACTACAGAGAGCGGAATAACGGAGGCTCGGATAAGCGGGGTTCTACTGTACTAAAATAAAAGGGATAACTGGTGCAAACACACAGGTGGGGCTACAATTACACATCACAGATGAAATCATAATTACACTTTCACCACAAATTTCAAGTAAGGGCATGGAAAAGGGGTCTTTTCCCTTCTCCTCTCCAAATATACATTATGGGCTAAATTTTGTCTTGGCCTCCATCAATAAAGAGAAGAAAGTTGCTCCAGAATTAGCACATCTCCAGAAACACGGGCCAGTGGAAACTCATTTCTATTTACAATAGTATAGGACACAGCTGAAGCCCATCTGCACCTGTTCTTTACCAGTGCTGAGCAGCAGAGAGAGAAAGGGAAAGCCCTGGCAAAAATATATATATTACCCCTACCAGGCTCCTTCAGCACAAACCCTGCACAACTTAATCCATCTAGAAGGTCGAATATGTCAGTCCAGAAAACCAAAGCTGCTTCTTTTCCTCTCCATCCTCCCTGCCAACTTGTAAGATCCTGGCTAATTTGGAGCAGTTTATTGAACTAAGCATCCCATCGTGCCGATAGGGGCTGATCCAGCTCTTCTTGAAGTCAATGGAAAGACCTGGATCTTACCTTCAAATTGTGTTACAAGAATGTGAAGCACTTCCAGGAATTAACATTATACCTTAAAACTTAATGGTATTTCTGCTGTATTTGTATGAGAGAGGATTTTCAAATGTTCACTGGTTTGTCACCGCAGTACTATTTTTCTTAAAATGTACCAGAACAGATACTGCACGTTAAGTACTAGTCACATGCCAAATTCCATGTTTCAAGATTCAGTTGTTTTGAGAAAAGGAGGACTTGTGGCACCTTAGAGACTAACCCATTTATCTGAGCATGAGCTTTCATGAGCTACAGCTCACTTCATCGGATGCATTCAGTTGTTTGGAGTTATTCCAAACATATACAAGTCACAATAATGAACAGGAAATGTATTTTCTCCTTTTCATAACTAAAAGGTCAAAATGTCTTTTTGCTCAAACTTTCCAAAATATTCACCTCTGTACAAAGATCAAATATCGAAAATGTATGCCCCAAAGGTAAATATTTTAGTAAGTTATGGCCTTTGAAAATGCTGTGTTAGCAAGGAAATGGTTTGCAACCTTAACTATGACATTTACTTGCTTTTGTGTTTTAAAAAGAAATATGCACCCCAGTTCTTAGGAACACTCATACCTGTATCTGTTTAGGGATGGGCCTGGGCCACAAAGTTTAGATCTGGATCTGAACTTGTTTGGGTTGTTCCAATTCAGGATTTTGGGTCAGTATCCATCTCTAATTTCAGTATGCGAATGAGTCTGTTCTCTTTCAGGAAGTGATGCCATTTTGATGATACTGCAAAGAAAGGATTCTATGTAACTGAAAGTAAAGTAGGATTGAGATACCACAGCGCCATTAGAAAGCAATTTAAATCAATTCTAAATCATTTGTTTCAGTTAGCATTTGATTTAATCATTATCAAATCATCCATTTTCCCTTCCATTATAGATCTTCACTTATAACTCTGAAGCTTCCTAATGTCCAGTGTCTTCACAGTTTTCTTTACATTTGTATATTTATACTGTTTGCAAGGTAGCATGACAAGCATCAGACAGGACATAACATTTTCAAAAGTTGAAGCCAATTCTTTCAATTCAACTGTGTAGGAAACAGACACCTTCCAAACTGATTGGTAATGATTCATTTTTATTTTATTTGGACACCTTTAAAAGCATTTTTAATGATTTACTCTTCTCTGTAGTTAGACACAGAAATTAGGAACCTGTTTCTGCTGCTATTGCCTTCAATGGGAGCAGGATGTGGATCCTAGAATATTTTTGATATTACACTAGAGATTTCATTTATTCTGAAATTGTTAGTTATCATGGAAGTAACTTCCTTTCTTTCTGCTTTACTATTACTACTTAGGTATTTTAACGTTCTTACAAAAGGACTCATCCCTTGCAAACTGGTGGAAACAGTAAGACTCGGGTAACCTGAGAAAGCTCTTAATGGGAAATCTGAGAAGGTGCATAGCCACAGTTCATCAGGAAGTAGCCACCACACTGAGTGGTCCATCTCACCTTTATGATCCTAAAAACAAATCAAAGCAACATGCAATTATAAGGAATGCTTACCAAATACAATGCAGTCTCTAGTGGACAGCTAATTCCTGTCCATGCCAAACAGTAAAATAAATAAATCAGATTCAGGTAAGAACATTTTTTTTTGTTTGTTTCACTGGCAGGCAAATTGAGAAGAGACTTTAATGCAAGGGGACAGTCTATTTCTCCTCTTCTATTTCTAATATGAGAAATCAGAATCAGGTATTTCTTAATTTTAACCACCTAGATTTTGGGTTAGTTAGCCACAAGATCTGGGGCTTAGCCTGCTGGTCAGAAGGAATGATGATCTAGCATTCTGATCAGCCACACCCTTACTAGTCGGCCTCACTTTATCCACTCCAACTCTCAGAACAATAACAATAACAATAATTCCAGATCTGAAATATTTTGATTCTACTGAGCTCTCCAAGATGGAAGCACAGCCCTGAACACACTGAAGCCACTTTTGGGACACATGAAGAAAGTGACCAACTACCCCTAATTTTTTTAAGTGCTTCCTATGGTTTGCAGACATAAGACTAGATTGTCCTCTACACTGGAAAAGTACAGGAGACAGGAAAACTCAGAGAATGAAATCTTATGACATTTGCACAGCTTTGCCCTGTATGGGAAGAAATTTGGCTCCACACACCTACAAATCCCCTGCACAACAATGCTTTCTGGTATCACAGCTTTATGAATGACACAGTGCCCGAAGAACAAGTTTTTCCCTTAGAAATGTGCTAGACTTCACTGTGTTACTTATATTTTATAAAGCTTCCTCAGAGTTGTCATTCAAGATATCCATAGATAGGCCTCATTCCCTGTTTCTTCTACAAATTTCTGTCTAAAGACTAATAAGAATAAGTTCTTTTGTGTGCATAATAGAGTGTTTTTTCATTACCTATCAACTTAATTTTTAAAATAATCTCATAAGAGCTCTCTGTGACGTTGCACTTCATATGATTTATGAAAATATGCTAATAAGTGTGAATATAATGTAACTGGAATATGCTTCATGCAAAAGGTCTCTTGTAAGGTATCATTACAAAGCTTATAATCTACTGAGTGTGTTCATCCTATTTGTATGAATGTATCATTCTTGTATCTGAAACTAGAAATATGAAATATAACTCTGAGGTCCTATTGTAATTATGCAAAGTGTGGGCCATTAATGGTGGTTTGGAATCTTGATGGCTCCGATTAACCAGGACAATTAACTGTAGATGGCTCTGTTTACTTGCAAGCCTTCCTGTGCGTCAGGCCAGGAAGAATGGAGGCTTGGGATCTCACAAGACATGTCACCTGGTACTGAAATCCATTTTAAACCTGGTGCTTTTCCATTTAGAAGGAGGGGTGGGGATCCAGAGAGACAAAAGATTCCTGCCTTGTGCCAAAGCTATACAATGGGGTGGAACAGAACAAAGGGGCTGCAGCCATAAGACTATCCTAGTTACCACCTGAGTTGGAACAAGGACTTTAACAGGGGAAAGGACTGGGCCCAGACTAGGAAGGAGTCTAGTCTGTGAAAGAAGCTTAGTGGAACATCTCTGAGGGTGAGATTTTATCTGTATTCAGTTTCTTAATGTATTAGGCTTACACTTATGTGTTTTTGTTTTATTTTGCTTGGTGACTTACTTTGTTCTGTCTGTTATTACTTGGAACCACTTAAATCCTACTTTTTATATTTAATAAAATCACTTTTGCTTATTATTGAACCCAGAGTTAGTGACTAATACCTGGGGGAGCAAACAGCTGTGCATCTCTCTCTACCAGTGTTATAGAGGGCGGACAATTTATGAGTTCGCCCTGTATAAGCTTTATACAGAGTAAAACGGATTTATATGGGGTTTAGATCCCACTGGGAACTGGGTATCTGGGTGCTGGAGACAGGAATACCTGCTAAGTGGTTTTCAGTTAAAGCCTGAAGTTTTGGGGGAAGTGGTTCAGACCTGAATCTGTGTTGGTAGCAGGCTAGCGTGTCTGGCTCAACAAGGCAGGGTTCTGGAGTCACAAGCTGGCAGGGAAAACAGGCTCAGAGGTAGTCTCAGCATATCAGGTGACAGTCCCAAGGGGGTTTCTGTGACCCAACCCATCACACTCCCCAGGTCTCTCTCTTCATAGAAATTTTTCATAAAAATATAGATATGAAAGTATCGTTTTGCTATTCATATGGCAGATACATCAATAGAAAATGTTTTCAAATTAGAAAATAGAGATTCAAATGACCAGATTGAAGTACTACAAACTTTACTAAAAAAGTAAATAAACACATAGAGCAATTATTGCCTTGATGAATTTGATTAAATATTTTGCGCTGACAAGATCCTTTATTTATAAAGACTGGATCTGTGGTCAGTATAAAAAGAGATTTCAAATTTCTGCAACACCAGCATATTTAATATGCAGCTAAGTAGCTGATGCAGTCACTTACCCAATTTACTGTTTCCTCAAAACCTTATGTTGTTGGAGTCAAACTCTGAGTGAGAGAGAGATTATTCTGGAATGCCAGAGCTACATAAAAGTCTGTTTGTTTGGTAGTAGAGAGAAATATATGAGGAAAAAAATGAAGCAACATTTCCATTTGGCCAAACTATTAATAATCAGAATTACAGAAATTAGAGACGACAAAGAGCTGTTAATGTGTTTAGTTTACCTCTGGCCAGGGCAGGATTCTTCCCAATTGCCTTTAATGTAAAACACACACACACAAGCAGCAGTAGCATACAGAAAAATGTATTTGGGGGTTCTAGGTATCAGTATCTTGTGATAGTGCCAGATTTGCAAAAGCTGGTCTCCCTTTTTTATGATGGCAAATATGGGGGCACTGGGTTGCAGACCTAATTTGTACCATAATTGTGTGTGTGTGCGTGCGTGTAATTATTTGGGCACAATCATTGTCCCATGGATGGCTGGCTACCTGACCTGCAGGAGCAATTAGATATTTACACCTGCATTTACATTAGTTGGATGTCTAAATAACTATGCCGACAATTTTACAGGTTAAAAAAAAAAAAAAGAGAGAGGCTGGTAAAAGCCAGGAAGAAAATGCTGGTGCTTACTCTTTAAAACTAATTTAAATGCAGCACTAGAAAATAATAGCCCCGTATTAGTAGGAGGATAGATTACATGGCTTTAACAGGTCTTTTCCATCTCTAATATATCAGACACTCCAGCTGAACAGCATCATTGTGGCAAATACTCATTCAAATTGTATTCTGTCTTGGTCAGGGGTGCAATTATTAGTTGAATTATATTCCTTTTTTTCTGTCACTACAGCTGCTAACAGACCAACTGAATTATACTTACTGTACATTTAAAAAAAAATAATCAAACATTTGTCAGTCCAAGGGCCACACACGAGAAAGCCTTTAAAACTCTGAAATGTCAGACACCATCCTAAATACATTGTCAGTTCTTTTGGAAAATGAAAAATGCCAACTTTCTAATGCCACTGCTGGAACAGACACACATTTACCTTTGTACATGGAAGACAATATCGTCAGATAGAGATTCAGATGGACCATAATTTCAAGTACTCATTACAGGAGAATATTAAGAGTGCAAGTGTCCACTATATTTCCATTATAGACACAAATTATGTAAGCAGTTATGTAATCAACCAACATATAAATAGCAGTGTGTCCTAGCTCCTAGGGAGCACCTTAATTCCAGGCACTGATGCTCAATCGTGAGTTGCAAGACAGAGCTGTATCGATCACATCTACACTAATTGAGCATGCACATGACACTGAATACATTCCCAAACTCTTGTCCCATCATTCACTGGGCTCAATGTAACTCCTGGAATAGATTTTTCTGAGGGCAGACTCTTCTTTGGCTGGTCAGGAACTGGAAGGAGCTACCCCCAAGGCATTATGAGTAGACAAAACAGATTTGATTTATTCAGATGTTCTCATCTGGCTGAAAATCAAACTAAAATACTTCACTAAAACCAGTCCTTATAATCATCTGCACCAATTATTGCTGTTTGGAGAATAATGCTCATAGCAGAAAGAACAGTCACCAAAACATGCCATTTTCTCTGCTACTTTGGATGAGCACAGGAAACTCTTACTTTCAAATTTTTCAATCAGAATCTGTGGAACCAGAAATATCCCCAGCATATTTCTGTTAAGTTTGCATGTAACTTACCCTTGTATAGTTTTATGGATCTCTTGACTGACCTATTTACATTTCACTGGCCTTCAATTGAGGTCCACAGAAAAACATTTTAATATTTATTCTAAT